GCAGATCAGCAGCATTTGTGTTAACTTGCCTGACTCCTGATTGCTGATGAGACCCAAAAGAGCGAACAAATGCTGAATAATATTAGGCTGGAAAGCCAATAGATTGATGATGGACTAAAACATAATATTATTATTATTTAAACTAGCACTGTCCTCGCACATTTGCGCTGGATTCACAGCCAGGGTAGAGGGTGAGTGGGGTGGGGGCGTGATGACGTCGCCAGGGTTGCGAGTGACGTCAGCAACAGGCAACAACAGCACTTGCATGCCAGCCAAAGTTGTTTATAATTTTAGCACGTATTGTAATACGTGTATAGTATATAATGTGGGCATCCAGACCAGAGTTCTGCTTATATCTGCTTTATGCTATGGCAATTCGTCAAAGTTTCAATAGTCCTTCCAATGTCCCGTATGCTGCATGACAACAAAATACCCTCTATTATTTTTGAGGGTCATGGGATTCATATCCCAGGCGATGAAGCCATCTGTAGACAATGCAAATACACAGAGAGAGATATGCGGTCCAGTTCAATATGTTTGTGTTCATTTCAACCCGATATATATTACTTATCAATGAAGTCACACCTGCTCCACAATCTTGTGTGTGTGTTTGGGGTAATGCGGTCAGCAAGCAAACAGCATATCATCTCTTATCTCTCACAACAACATAGCTTCGCAGAGATATATTTGGTGACAAATCCTCGTAAGTTGAGCAATATTCTAAATAAAGCACACGGTAAATATACTTCTCTCGTGGCATGTGTTTCAGTGAAGTGAATCACGACTTTTAGCACTGTAGCGTGAATTGTTTATAAAATTTGTATCTTTAGCATTTATTTCGCACCTCCGATTCACACGGTTGGCTACGTACGGTGCAAAAGAAGTCCATCAAACATACATTTCAAATATTTCTCATGAAAACAACAAAAACATGAATGGTCTTGTTTATATTGTTAGGCTTTGGAGGCGCGCTGTTAACAACCGATCATGTATGACCTGCATGAAGTGTGCGATGACATTGACACGGACGCCTGCCCCGTAACTGGGAAAACTAAAGGCTGATTCAATCTAGGGCAGGCCTGCGAGGTTACACTTCTGTCCTGTCGTATGCCGGGGAGTCGATCGGCACAGTTCCCACGTTCGTGTTGAGGTTGCCGAGTGCAGGAAGCGTGTATTATGGCTGAACGATTAATCGATTTCAAAGCGCATATTTGAAACAATGCGATTAGCAAATCTCATTGATTTAAAAAGCCCTATTACTTTTCGATTTAAAGCTTTCGTGACTGCAGGGATTCATCTTCTTGGTTCTATCGGTAAAGTCACGTAGAAGGGAAATAATAAAATAATACAAATTTTACATTTTACATAATAAGATGTCTTATTATGTTTTATTTTTATTACTTTATTATTTCCCTTCTACGTGACTTTACCGAAAGAACCAAGAAGATGAAGCCCTATTACTTTCTTATTGGAATTGTTTTATTTTTTATTACTAACTTTATTTATTTAACTTAACAAGTGTTCTATGTTTGATTATTCTATTTCAATTAAAACATTTTAATAAATACATGTTGGAAGCAATTCAGTATCTTTTAAGTTCTCATCCTTGCATTAGAATATATTAGAGTAGTTCATATTAAGATGGTATCATGCGGTAATGCTCCATCACGTGTTTTACATCGATTACACAGTGAATATTAAACTGAAGCTTGACTTTAAAAAATGTAATCGCAAATCAACTCGCAATCGCAATATCGGTCAGAAAAATCGCAATTAAATATTGTCCCCAAATCGTTCAGCCCTAGCTGCAGCAGTAGCCTCGTGGTGAATATCCAACATCGAATTGGATCACGTGTGTTGTTTCAAATTGGCGCAGGTGGCCATGCATGGAGTTTGAACCAAAGCTCCAGGGCATTGGCTGCACCAGCGTATGCCACGTGAGGGGGGCTACATGACGTCACAATAGGAGGGGTGGAACGAGGAGCAGTGTGGCGGGAGCCCAGGGGGTGACTTGAGAGCCGGGGTGGACAACCTGTAGCAGACCAAGAGGCAAACAGTACCCGTCAGTTCCGCACAGAGCCAAGTGTATTTATATATATAATAGGTTATCATACAACTTATCATACAACTTTAATTCATTATTCATTGCTAGTGTTGATAGCACGTTCTACGTTATGCCCCGTCGATAGAGCCGCATGTGGTGGAATAAAATAAGTGAATATCTCAGAAGGCTCTGCCTGGTAGGATTGGGTTTCGTTTCATTTGTATGTTTTTGCGTGCTTTGTTTGCCTTTCTTGTACTTTGCACTGCTATTGTGTGTTTTGCATTGTTTGATGTTGCAACGTTCTTACCCCGTGCCCCTTCTGAACGTCTGCGAAAAAGAGCTTTATAGCTCATCGGATTCCTCCTGCAGTCTCAATAAAACATTCTGATTCTGAAACATTCCGATGGAAGAGCCGCACGCGGCTCGGCAGACGCCAATTGGCCACCGCTTGCTTGAGGGTCATCGCCCTTTAGGCCTTGCGCGTTGGACGTGGCGAGCAGGCCACGTGCAGGGTCGGAAACAACAGCAGCAGCGTTCATTCCCTAACTCGCCATCCGCGCGCTCTCCTCGGCGTGCGTCCCCTGTGAGGCGACGGGTTTCTGGCGAGGAAGTCACATTTAGGTCTTGAGCGTTCTTCGGTGTCTAGTTGGTGTCACTCGACGACGACCTCATCCGATCGGGTTCTGCCCCTTGAAAAAAATGTGCCTTTTTTTCGGCATTTAGCTCTCCTGCTCATACCTGGGATTCGAATCAACGGCGTCCCTCTTGCCTAATGACAGTTTCAAGTGACACGAAAACACGCAGCAGGTCGGCCACGAGAAGGCCAGGGTTTGAGTCTGTGCAGGGACAAAGCAGTCCGCAGACAACGCGAGATTGGACCCGGCCGCTGCCAAGTGAACAAACAGCTTCATGACCTTTGACCCTCAGGTGGTGTTGCAGCCATGAAATGATGACAATGCAGGCGGCAATAGCCTTCGCTTCCATCCCACCCTCTGTAGGAATGTGCGTGCTGTGAGTGTGTCTGGGGAGCGGTAGTGTAGCAGTCAACTGCTACAGTTGACAACATTATCTGAACGGGTCCTGGGGCCTCCCCTAGATCGACTCAGCCTCAAACTAGTACCTGGTGCGGTGTGTAAACATTGGCACTGGGGAGACAAAGGCGGCCGGGCGTGGTGCTGGCCACCCACCCCCTCGTGTGCTGTGTCGGCCTTCACAGGTGCTGCTCGCTAACATCACTTGCTCACAACGTTGCAGGCGACGCGGGGGATCTTTGGATGGGGGAGAGGTGGCGTAGTGGGTGAGCGCACACGACCATGCTGCCTGGCGGCCCCGTTTATTATGTCGGCGGCGATTCATCTGAACCGGTGCCGCCAAAATAAACCTTGCCCATCGCGGTTTGACGGCGAGATGTCCCGGTTATGGTTGTGCATCGTAAACAAGTGTACTGTTCGGTGGTAACTCGTGACTGCACTCTGCTCGCAGCGACGCTGCCGAGCCATCATACATTCGTATCAAGTAAAAGTCATTTTCAGTTTGTTCTTTTTCTATTTTTTTAACTGCATAACATTTACTGTATCTTTATTTTCAGTACAGCACTTTGACGCTGCATTATTCCCAATCGACATCAATGTGTAATCTGTTGCAATTCAACACCGCAGGTAATTTTATCGTGTTTTATATATTTTCAAAAATTCTTCCCATTTCATGTTTGGGTTAATGTAGGGTAACATAAAACAAAAGAAAAGAAGGGGGTGTATCGTATTACGAACTGGCAACCAAACCCTAGTTTTGGTTTTATTTTGGCAGGTAAGTCCCACTGAGCTAATCCCGTTTTCACAAGCGACCTGGCTGTCAGACATGATAGCTTAACCAAAGTGGATTATCATCACGTGGACATTTATAAGCAGCCAAATACTCTTAACGCGTGCTGTTAATTCTAAATGTGGAGGGGAAAACCGGAGGACCTGGAGAAAAATCCAGGCAACCACAGGGGAGAGAGACACCGCAAACTCTAAAAATACAGCAGGCATCAGGGTCGGGATAGAACCCACGACTTTCTGTATTAGGCGAGGTAGTTAACATCTCACTACCGCGGCACCCCATTTGCCTCTTGAGTTTTCGGATCGCGGATGTGCCGATTGCGGCTATTTTCAAGGGCGCAACCACCGCGATGGGCAGTGCTTTGGTGTACTGTACCTGGTTCAGTGCTTAAACGTCAGCACGAGGGAGACAAAGGTGGCCGTGGGTGTGCCTGGCCACACCGCCCACTTTTGTGCTGTGCCCGGCCTTCGTAGGTGCTCGCTAACAGCACTTTCCATAACAGTCTGTGTCGGCAATAAGGGCCTTTCGTCCAGGTGTCTATTGTTCAAGCCAGCACGAGGTAGAGGGCTCATCTCACTTTGAGGCACTGAGACAGTGGTTTAAATTCAGCATTTCCATGGCAGGTGCCAGGCTTTTCAAATCAGTTAAGTTCAGTGCCAGACACTGTCGGCATTGATTATATGGATATATTTATAATATTATAGTCCGGTATGTTGACAAATGTGTGGAATGTGTGCTACGTTCTAGAGTAGGAAAACCACTAAAATATAAGCAATGTATTTGTGGTCAAAAATCCTGGCTGTTAATACAATGTGGCGTCCACATGGTTTAAGGCACCATGGTTATTATAGCCTTTGGTTACTGTCGACATTGTCAACATGTATACCAGAAGCTCAGAAATGTGCACGTGTGAATGCATGAGAGTAATGTTTACACAGCTTGGAAGGAGTGCATGCGTTATGAAATCATCTTGTCAATATCAAATTCATATTTGTGATTGTGCAAACATCAGCCCGAACTCAAGTCGACGAAAGCAGTCCGCCTTCGGTAATCATTAACCACAGTGACGTCACCCGCCAGGCAGCAGTGGGATGTCTGGCAATCGGGGCTATTTGTGTTCCGTCTAACACTCTGACTTGCACACCTATGCCTTCGCAACACGAGGATGTAGGCACGGTGATGCTTTGTTGAAACCTTACCGTGCGAGCATCTGTCGGCAATGATCGTGGATGTACTTATGTTGACTTATTATCTATATATATGAATCCCGACTACATTTACAGGAGGCGGTGTTACGCACGTTTGGCCAGGACTCATGGGACTTTGTTGAAAGTGAGTAACGACCGTGTTTGCTCTGCGTGGGGTGGGAGCACTGCTCTGTGAAGCTGACGATCTGAGCAGTTGATTGACACGGAGCTGTGGGTTATTGCTGTTACAGTGGAAGTAACTGCGCATTCGTTTTGCTGTTCATGTACGTATGTATGTTGAAGTTCTTTCGCACAATATTAGCTGAATGTACTTTTTACATTACCAGTTCCAGAGTATGTGATTTCATATGACAAACTTGCTTTTTGATTTTGTTCTGTAAATAAGCTATGTATATAAACAATTTGATAATGAATAGAAGTAATATATTTCAAATGCAATTTGAATAAAATAAAAAATTCGGAAATAATTGTTGAAATCGCTCTAATTTAAAACATCTGAGGACTCAATCAAAACCATCACCTTGCCATACATAGCAGGGGTCACCAAAAATATCTCCAAAATCATGAGCAAACACAAGATCCAGGTTCGATTTAACACGGTACATAAAATCTGTGATCTGATCCCATCTGTGAAGGATGTGATCCCTGACATGCAATACCCCGGCGTCTACAAACTAAGCTGTGTCTGCGGCAGTAGTTACGTTGGGGAAACTAAGCGACATTTCTCGGACCGTGTTCCTGAACATAAGGCAGATCTGAAATATGGTAGGACCAATATCTCGGCCGTGGCTGATCATTGTTTTAATACGGTGGGCTCACACGAAATTGATTTCTCTAAGATGAATGTACTTTGCAAACCCACTGGCTATCAACAAAGATTCGCTCATGAAGCCATCCACCTATACAGACACAGACACAATTTCAATTGAGAAGATGGGTAACACTGAGTAATCATTGGAAGGACGTTATCAACCAGTTTAAGTCGTAACTGGCTGTAATGTTCCCATCCTACCACCTTCCAATGTTCGTTGTTATCTTCGACTCTCTGATTTTACATTAACAGGTTAAATTTTCCACACCAACACAGCCACCTTGCTCGCCGAGCTCGACGTTGCTGCTCTGCGATCTCCCATTAGCATGCTAATCTCTCACATTAACATGTCAATCTCTCACATTAACATGCTCATCTCTCACATTAACACGCTCATCTCTCACATTAACACGCTAATCTCTCACATTAACACGCTAATCACTCACATTAACATGCTAATCTCTCACATTAACACGCTAATCTCTCACATTAACACGCTCATCTCTCACATTAACACGCTAATCTCTCACATTAACATGCTAATCTCTCACATTAACATGCTAATCTCTCACATTAACATGCTAATCTCTCACATTAACACGCTAATCTCTCACATTAACATGCTAATCTCTCACATTAACATGCTAATCTCTCACATTAACATGCTAATCTCTCACATTAACATGCTAATCTCTCACATTAACATGCTAATCTCTCACATTAACATGCTAATCTCTCACATTAACATGCTAATCTCTCACATTAACATGCTAATCTCTCACATTAACATGCTAATCTCTCACATTAACATGCTCATCTCTCACATTAACATCACTAGCCCCGCCCACTCTGTTTATTACCCTTGGGCTACACCCATTTTAAACCTTTAAAAAAAGACTGCCTCAGTAGCTTTCCCCCTCTTTTTTCTTCCTGATGACGAACGCTTGTGTTGAGATCGAAACGTCGTAGTTTTTTGTTATTTTTTGTTATTTTCTTTGAACCTATCTACGTGACTTTACCGAAGTACCCCAAGAATAATCATGAGCTGAACAATTTTTCTCTTGAATATTTCAGATTAACTGCAATATACACCCATCCTTGGATGGGCAAAAAAGCTAGTAATAATATGTTAGCCCTTCATCAACCCACTATTAGATGAATGCCTCCTCGCACTTGCGTTGGCCAAGGAGGTTCACTGAGCACACTTGACCAACGCTGCCCAGTTCAGGTTCGAGAAAGGGAAGGTTCAGGACCAGCTCAGATGTCACTTCGGAACTGACGTTAGCCAGGGGCCTGGAATCAAGCCCAGTTTGACACATTTATAACGCAGTGTGTTAACTAGTGTGTCACCGTCCCGAGCTTCTGATTAAAAGTGCAGATTATTTTTTTCAACATATTACAGCGAATTTCGATTTAAAGCTTTCGTGATTGCAGGGATTCATATTCTTGGTTCTTTCGGTAAAGTCACGTAGAAGGGAAATAATACAATAATAAAAATAAAACATCATTTAGGACGCTGTCTTTCTGACAGCTCTGTTCTTCACCTGAGGACGGCTGCTTGCGTTGTGGCCGAAACGTCGTGAGAATTTGTATTGTTTTATTTTTATTATTTTATTATTTCCCTTCTACGTGACTTTACCGAAAGAACCAAGAATATATTACAGTGAAGCTAGTGTGTTTCTTTCATTCTAAATGGGTACATACACATTCGTCTCTTGTCGTTTTAATCAATTATAAACAAGACACATCATTGCTGCTGCATGAGCACTTGAGAGTGTGCATGAATTGTATGCATTTTCAAGGAAATTCCCCTTAATGGCTGAATCCACTGTGACGACACGATTACACTGTGGCTGTACGAATTCATTCACTGCAAAGTCTGATCTTCGTTTGCGCTCTGGAAGGAATTACATCATGTCTTATTCCTTTAATAGATACTTGCTGACAATTGCCCCGATAAGTACACAAGGCTCAAATATATTTGCGTGTGTGTAAACATTCTGTGTTGCCCTTTCAGTCTGAAAAAACTGAAAAGACTGCATTCCGACCGTAGGTATTGTGGTCAATGCAAACATGACTCCTTGTAAAAAAGTGTCAGTTTTGTTGCCAGATAAAATGGTAAAAAAACAATTATCATATTTTGCTACTGGCAAAGGAGGTTCCAATGGTGTAAATGCTTACCCCGAGCTCTCATACTCTGATGGTGCATTGTATTTGAGTTGTGCGCCTTTTGGCGTCATCTGGTCCAACACCATGTGAGACCAGGCTCTAAGAAAAGCTGTCTCGGGTGTGGACCAATCAATTTCAAGGACAGCGCATACATTATCAGAGTTGTGTTTTTTGTTTGCATTCCGACCGCAGGTATTGTGGTCAATGCAAACATGACTCCTTGTAAAAAAAGGTGTCAGTTTTGTTGCCAAATAAAAGGGTAAAAAAAACAATTATCATATTTTGCTACTGGCAAAGGAGGTTCCAATGGACTGATGAAGTCATTGATATATTTTCACCGATGAATACTACCGTGGTGTAATAGTGGCCAGTTCGACCTCTAGCCGCAGTCATGGACACAATGGGGATGTTTATTAAATCCCTCCATCTTTCTCTCCACCCAGCAGTGGAAATGGGTTTACCACACTTAATCAATCGCCTGGCCACATAGTGTCGGGTATGTAGGTCGACATTCTTTCCCAGCGTACATAGCCAACCGTGCTAATCGGAGGTGTCTGGGCAGCGTGGAAGAATAGGCCAAATACTCTCTAGAAGAGCTATCTGGAGCTCCCTCTAGTGGAGGCCTTTTCACCAGCAGTGGTGTTAGCCAGGTATTTCAATGCTGCACCTTTACCCTTCTTAGTACTGTACTGTGATTGCACCTAATCCTCAACATGCTACGAGCCACACACAGTTGCTTTCTCTTTCAACATGTGTACAGGCTCTTTACAGCTTTTATAGCTTTCTAGCAGACTGCATTATTTATGGATTATATGTATAGCTCATGTATAAACTCCCAGCGAAGGCCACACACAAATGCTTTACAGCCATATATTGTACGTGCCTGCATGTATGTTGAACTTCTTTCGCACCGTACGTTGCCAACCGTGCTAAGCGAAGGTTCGGGGGAAGGACAACAAACTAAACACAAAAAGCGGTTATAAAGAAATGAGTTTTCAATCTTCTTTTAAAAGTGCATAGCTCCTGTGGCTTCCTAATATCTGAAGGAAGAGCGTTCCAGACGGCCGCAGAAGTGCTTCTGAAAGCGCGCAATGCAGCGACCCCATCTTTGTTCGACGGTGGGAGTCGCCCTGCAAAGCCTCGCCGAGTCTCTTGTGTGACGGTTGACCCACTCGGACTCTTACACCAAATACCTTGCCCTGGGTGGGTGAAGTCGTATGGAGGAGTTGGCGGAGGAAACCGGAGTGTGCGGAGAAATGAACTAGAAACTATTGTTATTTGACCAGGCGAGGCCCACTGACCTACACAGACGTGTTTCAGAAGCGACCTGGCCACAAGTGGTAGTTCAACCAAGTGGCTTCTCATGTGGACATTCATAGCAGCATGTGGAGGGATAAGTAATTTTTTTTTTAAACTTAAAAAAAACACGCTTTAATGAAATGTACCCTACTAGTAATGGAAGAACTCCACGACTCCTGGAAGTGGCCCCGAGGCTTGCGACAACGTAAGGGGTCGTGGCCAATTACAGCCAACGTCATTTGAGCGTGGACAATTAGACCCAAGCCGAAACATAAGATATCAAAAAGAATGTAAAAAATTATTTATGATAGAATATAGTATTGTCATGACATAAGTATACCAAGTTTGCAGTCGATACCACATTGGGAAGTGGGTTACAATTGAGTTACAAGATTTGAGAATACAACGACAACAACAACAGACAGAGTGAGTTAATAGAAAGCGTGTAGAAATAAAAAAACGGAGAAAAATCCACACGCCCACGGAGAGAGAGAGAGAAACACAAACTCGAAATACACAGCAGGCGTCAGGGTCGGGATCAAACCCTCGACTTCCTGTATACGGGGCGAAGTAGTTAACATCTCGCCTCCGTGGTGGCCACGCGGCCACGCGGCCACGAGACGAGCGTTCGGCCGCGGTGCACTCGGAGACGGCAAAGTTCGGCCTGCGGTGCTTCTCTCGGACACCCCCCCTCCCCCCAAGCAGCCACCCGGTGGGACGGTTTCCGTGTGCCTGGTGGCTCCTGCTGTCATTGGAAATTGAGGAGCTCCACTGGATCATGGGACCTCCTTTGCCAGTACCAACATATGAGAATAGGTTTTCCCCTTTTTTCTGGCAACAAAACA